GATAGTAGGACGACAGGAAATAAATATCCCACTGAAGAAGTGAAACATCAATTTCAAGTAAGACAACAAACGGAACTTTCCCCATCCCCACTGATTGTCAATGAAGGCCAGAAGGAGAATTCCAGCCTTAGTGTGTTATCAACAGTATACTTACCTCAAAGCAAAGCACATCAAAGCAATAGCTCACATTACAAGAAATCTGGCATTTTGACAAATGTGTAAAACATCACCATCAAACGAAACTGGAAATGCTAAGTTGAAATGAAGACTGACTTTCTGAAGTGCCTTGTTTAACAAAGCACATGTAGCATATAACATTTGGAAGTGTAAAATCTCAGGTGCAGGTTATGAAATATAGATAGGATACAGTGTTCAAATACAGAAGGTAATTTAGGTATTTCTCACTTCCATATTTTTGAAAACAACTTTACTCCTGTTTATATATTTTCCAGTCAATGATCAAGGACAAAGGAGGATGGGGCAAATAGCTTTTTCAAGTTTCGTGCTTTATGTTAGAGCCCAGAAACAGACATTTTGTTGAATGTCAGACTCAGGAACTGGGACTGTACTGGGAGCTGGTGAATGTTAAGAGTCTCAAGGCAATTTTTTTTTCTCCAGTCAAGTTTTTCCCTTCAATTTACAATTAACTAAACATTATTCATTAACGGAAGGCAAATTTGATTGCAACCCTGAATCAGGGATATACATGCTCTAACAGAAACTGCAGCTAGTTATTTAGTGGTTAGTTTAATCTGGTTTTTTGAAGTTTGTCAGTTATTTTCATGAAGCATAAACAGATGCTTTCCCTCAGTGCTGCCTGTACAGAGTGTAAAGTAGGAGTCTGAGTTACAGCAAGTTCTGAAAAGGAATGAGGGTGGTGGTGGAGAGGGTGAGGGTGGGGGTTCTTTCTTCTGTGCCTGTTTTTAGCATCCCATAGGTGGAACTTAATTCGGCACACGGGAAGAAACTGCTTGGTGAGTATTGTTAAATTTTCTGTTATTCTAATTGCAATAAATAGTGTTTACAGTTACACAATGGCAAGTCAGCTTGGTCAAGTGGCGTGTATATCCTTCATTATGTATGAAGTTATGGACACACCATATGACCCACATGAATTCACCTGCGGGAAATGTCACCAGACTTACAAGCTTGAGCTTTGGGATTTGGAACTTGAGCAGCAGCCTGAGTCACTGTCATGTATCCATGAGGCAGAGGACCGTGGATATCATGTTTTAGGAAGTGATTACACCCCTGGTTAGAAACATTTAGATTTAGATTTTATTGTCACGTGTACTCAAGTACAGAAGTACAGTGAAAAGTGTATAATGTCACCACACATGGTGCCATCTTAGGTACAAAGGTACCTCAGTACAAAAAACTTAGGTACAAAGTAATGAAAGAACCAAAGTTTAAAAAGTTAAACATTACCTTCATAGAATAAGTAGAAAAATAAGAAATAAGGCAACAGTTAACATGAAAGGTAGCAACGGAGTGGTTGATTACCAGGCAGTCTAAGAGATGCAGACAGGCAATACAGGAGACCCCTTAGTCTATCTTGCTTGCCAATTGCTATTCAATTTTGGATACTGATGATGGTATGGTTCTTAAGGACAGTGCATCCAAAGCCAGGTTTGTGGCACTACAGGCAACTAAACTGTACAGCGATAGGTAGGTATGGAGGGTAAGAAAACAGGAACACCAACAGTGCTAGGGGATTAGACAGGTGTTTCTGCAGTTATTGACATGACTTTAGAATGGGATGTGGCCTCCTGGTGCCTGGGTAAAGGATGTTATGAAGCAACTGTGCTACACTCTTCTGAGGAAAGGGAATCAGCTAGAGATCATAGCCATTTTGGTAACAGTGACTTATGGAGGAATGGGGATAGGGTTCTGAAAGCAGTTTTCTGGGATCTAGGTAGGAGACTGGAGGGCAGGACCCCTAAAGCAGTAGTGTCATACTTACCCAAAGTCTCACATGCTTGTGAGCATAGAAATAGGAGAATTGAGCAATTAAACATGGTTGGAAAGCTGGTGTAAGAGTAAGGGCATCAGATTTGTGAGGTATTAGGACTGATTCTGGGGAAGGAAGGTGGGACCTTTAGAAGCTGGGTTATCTTAAATTTGTGTCCTCTGATTACTGACCATGCAATCACACGAAAACAATCTCTCCTCATGTACTCCATCAAAACCATTCAGGTTTTCAAGAAGATTTGTAGCTCAGGTTGTGGATGAAGTTGTAGACATGCTTGCTGAGCCAGTGCGTTTGATTGTAAACGTTTCGTCACCCTGCTAGGTAACATTGTCAGTGCGCCTCCGGTGAAGCGTTGGTGTTCTGTCCTGCTTGTTATTTATATGCTTCAGTTTGCTGGGGTGGTTGGTATTACTTCCGGTAGCACTTCCGAAGTACTAGCAGGGTGACAAAACGTTTGCAACCAAACCCACTGGCTCGGCGAGCATGTCTACAACTTCAAGCCATTCATGATTTTGAGCACTTTCCCTAAATCTTTCCTGCTCTAAGCAGATCAATCCCATGTTTCTCTACTGTCCTCACATAACTGCACAGTCTCATTTCCTGGTACCATTCCAATAAATCTGAACTTTCTCCAAGGCCTTGATGTCCTTCTGAAAGGGTATTCTCACACAGAGTTAAAAAATAATACAATTTGTTCTTCAACTCATATTAGCATTAATGACTGAATGCTAATTATCCCTTTTAAACATTCTATTTCTTTAAAAAACAAAAATAGCACACCAATTTTGAAATGCTAGAAATAACTGGGAAATGCTCAGGCACTTACCTGCACCCTAAAGGATGCTGTGGAGGTTTTAACATGTGTTCTTACACAATGCCAGAGGTTAATTGGCCCTAAGCAAGGTTCAGCTCGTAGGGTCCTCTCAGAAAATAGTGAGTATCTGTTTATCATTAAAGTGACTATTAAACTTACTGGGTGAGGGAAACATAATAGTGAGAATGCAGAGCAAAATTGTCAACAGTTAGATTAATGCCTTGGGTAAAACTGTTCATCTCAGTATTTTGCTTTGAGTTTTGTCTTCTAGTAGTTGTGAAGCTTTTTTTGTGTGTTTTTTTCCTTTAAGGCTTATTTCTGGGGAGCAAGCAGCACACTGGTAATGCCACTGGTCTAGTATCCAGAAACCTAGGCTAGTATTCCGGGATGACGGCTTCTGATCAAGTGTATCCCAGGACATTGTGGGAAGTTAGGGAAGAGAGTGCAGGGCCCCTAACAGAGATATTTGTATCATCTATAGCCATGGGAGAGGTGCTGGAGAGTTGGAGAGTGGATAACGTTGTGTCTTTATTTAAGAAAGGCTGTAAGGAGAAAGCTGGGAACTACAGGCCGCTGAGTCTGTTATCACTGGTGGGTAAATTGCTAGAGGGGACTCTGAGAGATAGGACTTACATACATTTGGACAGGCAGGACTGATTACGAATAGAAAGCATGGCTTTGTGCGTGGGAAGTCATGTCTCACAATCTTGATTGAGTGTTTTGAGGATGTGACCAAAAAGCACAGCAGTAGACTTTGTTTACCTGGACTTTAGTAAAATCTTGGACTAGGTTTCACATGGTAGACTAATTAGTAAAGTCAGATCACATGGGATTCAGGGTCAGCTTGCCAATTGGATACAAAATTGGCTTGACAATAGGAGATAGAAGGTGATGGTGAAGGGTTGTTTCTTGATCTGGAGGACTGTGTCCAGCAGTGTTCCGCAGTGATCGGTGCTGGGTCCACTTTTGTTTGTTATATATATATAAATCATCTGGATGAGAATTTAGGAGGCATCGTTAGTATGTTTATGGATGACATCAAAGTTCGTGGTATAGTTGATAGGGAAGAAGGTTATCTAAGATTACAAAGGGATCTTGATCAACTGGGCCAATAGGCTGAGGCGTGGCAGATGGAGTTTAATTTGGATAAACTTGAGGTATTTTATTTTGGTAAAACAAACAAGGGCAGGGCTTTTACAGATAATGGTAGGGCCCTGGGTTGTGTCGTTGAACAGAGAGACCTAGGGGTTCAGGCACATAGTCCTTTGAAAGTTGCATCACAGGTAGACAGGATGGTTAAGAAGGCATTTAGCATGCTTTTCTTCATTGCTCAAACCGCTGAGTTTTGGAGCTGGGACATCATGTTGAGGTTTTACAGGATGTTGGTGAAGCTACTTTTGGAATAGTATACAATTCTGGTCACTCTGCTATAGGAAGGATATTATTAAATTGGAGAGGGTTCAGAAGAGATTAACCACAATGTTGCTGGGACTGGAGGGTTTCAGATATAGCGATAGGCTGGGATTTTTTTCACTAGAGCTTAGGAGGTTGAGGGGTGAATTATAGAGGTTTATAAAATCATGAGGGGCATAGATAAGGTGAATAGGAAAGTCTCTTTCGCTAGGGTGGGTGAGTTCAAAACCAGAGGGCATATTTTTAACGCAAGAGGAGAGAGATTTAAAAGGAACCTGAGGGGCAACTTTTTCACAGAGGGTGGTTTGTATGTGGAATGAACTGCTAGAGGAAGTGGTATATGCAGGCAAAATTTAAACATTTAGAAGACATTTGGGTAGGTGCATGAATAAGAAAGATTTAAAGGGATATGCACCAAATGCAGGCAAGTGGGACTAGTTTAGTTTGGGAAACTTGGTCAGCATGGACGGAATTGGACTGAAGGATCTGTTTCCGTGCTGTATGACTCTAAGTGTTACTTCTTTCAGTGAGTTAAATGTCACTTATATTGCATAAAGCATGTGTGATGGATTTCCTGCTCGTAAGAACCCCAATAGAACAAATGATGGAACAGACAGATGGCTTTAACAATGAACAACTTAGCTCTGCTTCAGCTTTCACATGCCACAAGCAACATCAAGCTGTGCATCTTTAAACCTTTTCCAAAAGCCCCTTTGTCACAAGAGAATAATGAGATGGCAGCACTTCTTGCATAATTACATGCATCTTCAGTGGTGTAACATAGGACAGAGTATGACATACCTGCTGAGATCTTTGTATAGCAGCATCTATTTCTTCCACCTTCTGTGCTATAGTGTCGCTCACAAATCTGTAACGCTCGTTGTCATCAGACACCAGCTTATCAAGTCCTTCTCTCGCTCTCCATGGGACCAACTCCAATAAAGCACTGCTAACCTCATTAACTGTGTCCAGGCTTACCCTGTGCTCCATCATCTCTTTCCTCAGCTCCTGGGTATGAGAACGAGAGAGATACCTCATCACACAACTTGTTGGATTTAATGAATTGTTACACTGCCTACGATAAATGAAAGAAACCATTTCATTGTAATGAGTAACCATGTTTCCCCTTCCTCTCTCAAGATTGGCCAGACTTAGTGCAATCTCCCTATGAAACCCTTTGGAACACAATCTGTACAAACTGTGTCCCACAGGTTAACTCAACCCACCAATCAGGAAGCAGTCCAACCTTGGTGAAATGCTGATTCTATACCCTCCCCCATTTTGAAGATAATGCAATGTAAAATTAGACAGTCGGTGTAAAATGTTCTGAATGATGTAGTGGGTTTCATGACCCATGAGTAAGGTTAATACCATCCTTTACTATGTCAGTCTAGGTTTCTGTTATTAGGCTGTCAGGCAACAAAATAGAAATCAGATTAAAATTCTGGAGAGAAAATGTGACAAGGAATGCAAGAATACTTTTGACATCATTTGAATGAGGGTTAAGCAGTTATTTTAAAAGTTCAGACTAGTGTGCTAAAAGCAAATTTTAAAGAGAATACTGCTCTTATGTGAAATAGACAGCATTTTCAATATTATATACAAGACTAAAACCAAATAACGTAATCTGTGCTTAAAGTAGACCCTGACTTTGAGCAATACTGTAAATTTGGAGATATGTAAGTCATCAGGCCATCTTACATCTCTCTCCACATTTAAGTTCAAGAGAATTAAGATATAAAATGAGCTGCTGACTTGTTATTGCCCCGAGCCACAGTTTGCCCCATTAATCATTATTAATGTAGTATAACTCCATTAATTAAAGATTGAACCTATTACTAATCATAATTCCCACCTTGTAATGAAGCTGCAGAATTGTTCATTGCTTAACCATCTAAAAGATGATTTATTTCAGACAGCCTAATTTCCCTAATTTTACACCCACTCTCTAATTTTATGTTCTGTTACCTTCAAAATGGGGGAGGGTATAAAATCAGCATTGCATCAAAATTGGACTGTCTCCTGATTGGACATAAAATTGTTCTCAATCAGTCTTGTAAGAGAAATTTTGGTACATTGATGTTTCCAGGATGTTACTCTTCTTGACCCTCATAATGGCCCTTATTGTGTTCTCAAGGTGCGGTTTACAAGAGAATTAGCAATTCCACCAATACAGCACTCTTGAAGAAGAAAATAACCGACGGGGAGCTAATGACTGAAATGTCCTTAATTCAGTAAGTAAAATGTAAGCCAAAATAACAGTCAATAAATGGAGTACACTAAGTGCTGTTTATCCTCTTCAAAAAGCAATGAAAGACATATTTTTAAAGATGCCCAACTGTGATGATTTTACAAAATTCCTGCTAATAAGCTTCTGATAAAATTGAGATTTTGTTTCATTAATTATTTTTCACACTGATGATATATCAATGAGAACAGTGTTTCTCTGTTTTAATGACCTACAGACAATGGTCTTCAATACAGAGATGAACTCTATCTTTTCAAAAGCATCAAGGCCTATTATGCCTCCCCAGAGCAGCTGCTGGAAACAATGAAAACATGGGTCTCCATCTTACAGGCTGTCGGAGTCAGCAACACCCAAGCTAGAAACACAGGGAGCGGTCGAACAAAGGTCTGCTTGAGTGATTTCCTGACATTGTACGGACACTGTTCATCCAACTATTGAAGTGTGAGATTTCACAAAGTAAACCAACAAATCAATCCCTCACATGGAAACTGTTCGTCCAGTTGATTCAAACACCACCCCTTTTATTGGCATTGCTGCACAATCTAATATATCCACAACAAAGCAACTTAAGACAGTAATTTACTGAAACAGCAAACACACATGAGCAAGCATGGATACAGCAACACTCATGGTCATGAGCACAGATTCATTAGAACATACTGATACACCCTAACATGAACACACAAGAATACACATACATTAACATACAAACCTGTTGACATGATGAAACTATCAAATTTGTAAATAATTGAATCACAATCGTTACAGAGCAGAAGGAGGCCATTTAGCCCATCATATCTGCATGGCTTTCTAAATGAGGAATTCTCCTTGTGGCATTCTCCTCCATTTTACCTGTAACCTTTCCTTTTCAGATAACAATCTCAGTTACTTTTAAATGCTTGGATTGAACATGCCTCCATCAAACTCTCAGGCAATGAATTCTTAACTTTAACAATTTGCTGCATGACCAAGTTTTTCCTCATCTTGCTTTGCTTCTTTGGACAGTTACTTTAAATCTGTGCCCTCTCGTTCTTGATCCTTTCATAAGTGAGTGCAGCCTTTTCCTATTTAGCCTGTCCAGAACCCTCATAATTGTGTGCTACTCAACCAGATTGCCTCTCAGCCTTCACCTTCTCCAAAGAAAACAGTCTTAACTTCTCTAATCCATCTTCAAAACCGAAGTTCCTCATCTCTGGAATCATTCTGGTAAATCTCTTCTGCACTCTCTCTGACACATCACATCTTTCCTAAACTGTGGTGCCCAGAAGCACATACAGTACTTGAGCTAAGGCCAAACTAGTGACTACCACAAGTTCAATATCACCTCCTTGCTCCTGTACACCATGGCCCTGTTAATAAAGCCTGGGGCCTTGAATGCTTAACTAACCTCTTTCTCAATCTGTTCTGCCTTCAATTCTTCATTGACTACTGCACATATATACATGGGTTGCTCCTGCAGCCCCTTTTAGAAATGTACCCTTTATCGTAAATGGTCTCTTCAAGCTAGGACAGAATCCATTCAGTGTGGAAACAGGCCAGGTTCTTCCAACCAAAATTAATTAGCTTCATCAAGCAGTTGTCTGCCATTCCACTAACTCCTTTTGATGTTCTACATTCTCCTCCTCAGTTTGCAATGCTTCCAAGTTTTGCATCATCTGCAAACACGAAGGTCATGAGTATGTATTAGGAAAAGGAAGGGTCCTGTTAATGACCCCTGAAATCGCTACTGTGAACCTTCCTCCAGTCTGAAAAACATCCATTAACCAGTATGCTCTTTTCCCTGTGAATTAGCCAATCCATGTCCATGTTGCTATTGTCCTATATATTCCATGAGGTATATCTTTGTCCACAAATCTATTGTGTGGCACTGTTTTAAATGCCTTTAGAAGGACCATGTAAATCATATCAACAGCTTTGCCCCTCAAACTAATGCACGCACACACATTAAATCAAACACACACACTGACATGATGGAAAGTACATACAAATTACATGCACACAAACACCCGCAACTCATAAACACAAACATTAACATGATAGAAAAACTTCCGTTTATGTGGAAGCTGAAATAATGAGGAACAAAATATGTTGAGACCAAAAAAAATACTAGATGTATCACAGACTAAGTCATATATCCACGTGCACAGAAGTTACAATGTGAATAACCACTAACTTTCTGTCTCTTCTGTGCTTGAGCTAGCTGTTCTCCTGCAAGAACCTCGGAAGCATATGTAGTCAGTTCAGCCTCCACCTTCTCGAGCCAGGTAGTTAACACCTCATGAGCAGACTGAAACTTAGTGGCCAGTTGGAGGGCCTGTTCTAGGGTCTTCAAGACTTTACCGCTGGTAGTGGTAATTTCAGCGTAGCGTGCTTTGATGCCATCTAGCCTTTCCTGAATAATTATAACTTCATCCCCTACAAAAGAAAAAACAGAAAGTTAAAATGCTCTAAGTATTGTGTGAACTAATATGCAGTTACAAGCAAGGAGCAAAATAATTTCAGATTCTTTTGGCAGCCAATCAGCTGCTTATTCATACAATCTCCTAACTTTGAGGTTTGCATTTATAAATCACCTTCCACAACCTCTGAATATCTCAATGCATTTTATAGCCTGCGAGTACATTGGTGCTGCAGAAATTGTGCCAGGTTGTTGGCCCACTTTGCCACTCCATTGCACCATCCCCACAACGACTGGTCAGTATTACAACATGCCAGCCAAATCTCTGTCCCCAGTTTCCTAACTTCCACCAGCTTCTCTTCATCCCTGTGCTTGTTCCCAGGTCGCCAAACATTTTAACATTTCCCTAAATCAATGCCTGCACACACTGCTCTGTTTAGCCCAACTGCTTACCTGTTGTCTGTTTCAGGAGAGCTAATCCGTTCTTAATGGCCTGATCGACATGCTGTTTACGAAGCATGATGTCTTCATGAAGCATCTGTTATTGTAGAACAGGTTTGGATAATGGAAATTGTTAGAAGTAGAAAATCCAGAGTTTCCAGCAACATTCTGACTCAATCAAAATGAAAAAGGGCACAGGAGGAAAATTAAACTTTAAAAGAATGTAGAAATGAAAATTAAATCATAACAAAAAAAGGTACCAGATGTTCAGAATGCTGTTTGTGAAGATGATCAGGATTGTAGTCTTGAATGGCTGCATTGTTGAGTTTGTCCTGCACTTCAGCCAACCAGTTCAGAACCTCCACCTCCTCCTCCCCAAAAATCCAGGCATTGGACAGGGCCTGCTGGATCAGGGCAGCTTTGCGGCCACACCTGTCCTGGATCTCAATGTACCGTGTCTGGGCAGAATCCAGCCTTCCCTGCACGATGTCTTTATCATCTCTGGAACTCATAGTCTTTAGCAACTGGCCAATGCTGATGGCCTGGTGCAACTGTTTGCCATGACTGACGACATCATCTTCCATGGCCTACACAAGGTGTACAAATAAATGAGAAAAGAAACTGTGGAAAAATAAACTGAGGCAGAACGAAAGGACTACGGTAACAGAAAGTACCACCTTCACCCACAAACACAACAAAATAATGAATGTGTGAAGTTGTAACTTAAAAGGGATGGAAGGATAAAGCACACAACTGGCTTGAACTCACTTTATGCTGGGAGATCTGTTCTTGTAGTCTAGCAGTTTGAGTGCCAATAGGTTCAGAGTTTGCAACTTTCTTCTCAGCAGCAGAAAGCCATTCAATCAAAGGTTCCACAGTATCATGGAACTGCTGAGCCACCACCAAGATGGCTTCCAACTGCCGCTGCCTGTAGAAAGGGCAGGAGACCTCAATAATAAGTAAGACTCACAATTATTTTAACATCTTTCAAAACTTCAAAACATAACAATGAACAAACCAATGAACTACTTTTCTGAAGTGCAGTCGTTGTTATAATGTAGGAAACGTGACAATCAGTTTATGCACAGCAAGGTCTCCCAAGCAGTAACGTGACAATAAATGTTCCATCTTGTTTTTGTAATGTTGGCCGATGGATACTTGTTGACCACAATACAAGGGAGATCCCCCATGCAGCTTGTGAAATTGAAGCATCCAAAAACCCAAAATCCATGTGTGCCAACTTCTGGCATTTTTGGTCAATGTTCTCTTCAATAATTTTGAGGAAATACTTAACAAACTTCTCTCTAAGCATCTATATCAGCTTCAAAACTGCTCTTAATGTGGTAAGTAGACCAACTCCATATATTCAGCTTCTGGTACAGCTGTATAATGGCTTCTAAACAATATATTTTATGAGAAGTCTTTTTTCTAAATGACACAGACCCAAACCTGCTGCATCTTGTCAAATTTGGACTCAAGATGCAGATCAACCAAGATATCATTGAATAATTGAACAGGTTGGAGGGGATGAACAGCCTCCTCCTGTTCCTAAGCTGTATTGGTTTGTAATGACCAGAGCAACTCGAAAGGATATGACAAGAGTGTATCCACTCAGTTTCACCCATCACCACCCACTGTGCAATCTATATGATTGGGTTGCACGATACTACGGCCAAGGAAATCAGATAATAATGTATAACTAATAAACACAAAAGTAAAATAAAAACAGCAAATTTGTTTTAAAATCAAGAGATAGAAGATTTTTCATATGAGTACAGAAAATTGTTGAAAATAGCAAGCAGTGTCTGCAGAAACAAGTTTATATTTCATTCATAGAAGTGACATTTTTGATTTATATTCTCTCTCTCACCGCTTGAAGTTCTATACATTATATTTTTTCTTTGAGAAGCTGCAAAGAAAACAATCACTACTTGAAAAGAAAGATGCCAGATACTGTGATACTGAAAGAATTTACAGAAAAAATCGTCAGGTTATAGTGGACAATTAACCACTGGCTTATCTTTGACAATATGTTACATCAGAAATAATTAAAATCTGAAATGAAGCCTTTGCAATCACTTCAGTCCATTATAATTATGCCTATTCATTAACAATAATGATTTACACAACACGCATATTTTTGCTCATATATTGTAAGTTTTCCAGCTTGTGAATTGTGATTTCTTTTAAGTAATGACAAGCTACAAACAGTGGAGATGCAAAGAGATGTTGGGTTTCATGTACGAACAATAAGTATTCAAAATATAATCAAAATGATTAACAGAATACGAGTCTCTAAAAGTTGATTATAAAGCAGAGGATGTTTTATTACATTCACACACTCTCCTTGTCAGATCACCTCTGTAGTATATGGATGTAAAGCCCTAGACACTGTTCCTGGGAAATACTACATTGGTTCTGAATAGAGCGTGACACAAGTTGACCAAAACACTAACAAACATTTAAGGTTTAAATATGAAGTGGAATTACACAAACTAGGCTTGCAATACTTGGAATATGGAGAAGTTAAAGGGTGGCTTGTTGGGTATTTCAGGATTTTCAATGGAATCAACACAGAAGACTGTAGAAGAATGTAGAACTTAAACTTTGAGCTAAACCATTCAGGGGAAAAGTCAAAATATAGCTCTTCATGGAAACAATTTGAGAACTAAGGAACTCTCTTGAACAAAAAGCAGTAAATGTTAGTTCAGTTAATAATTTTAAACCTGAGGTCAATGGATCTTTGCTAGCCAAACAGCATATGGGTTAGGGAATCAAGGTGGGTGCAAAGGGCCAAGATTTGGATCGACCAAGACCCAGTGATTGCCATAATCTGCAAGAGAGATTGAATGACCTCCAACTTTCCCCTATGTTGCCCAGTGGCTGCACAGCCACAAACTCCTCTGTACCTGTCTTCAGCCTTGGTCAGCAGGGAATTCCATCGACGACTCAGGCCTTGCAGCTGATTCAGGGTCTTCTCTCGATCTGTCGAATCAGCCAACCCAGCAATCTTCTCCCCTTCCTTTTTGATCATTTCCACAGTTGGTTTGCGATCATCCAGCAAATGTTGAAGAAGCTTCATTGGAACAAACATTTAACATCAAAATCGTGATGCACAGATTACTCAAATCTTGCTACTCATTCTCAACGAAACTTACAAAATTTTTACAGGGCTCGACAGGGTAGATGCAGGCTGAGGGCATGGAGTCAGGGAACACAGACTCAGTTTAATGGGTATGCCATTTACGACTAAGAAGAGGAGGCATTTATTTACTTATATAGTGGTAAATCTCTAATTGGCTACCACAGAGGGCTCTCCAGGTTCAGCCATTGAGTCTGACCAAGATAGAGATCAATGGATTTCTAGACATGGAAGGTATCGTGGAATCTGAGAATACTTTAGGAAAGTGAAGTCGAGGCAGAAGAGCAGCTGTGATCTATTTGAATGGTGAAGTCGGCTTACGGAGCTCAATGGCCTATTCTTGCTCCTATTTACTATGCTTATATAAAGTGAGAATAGAAATCTGTGCTGTCCAACTCTGAGACAGATATTCATCTATCTTTCTAATTGGCCAACAGGATTTGTATTTGAACAGGTTCCAAACTAAAACCCACTGCCTGAGTGGGCGATGGAAGCAGATTCAATAATAACCTTCAAAAGTAGTTGGATAAATATTTGAATGGGAAAATATGGCTGAAGTATGTTATAGAGAAAGAGTGGGGGTGTCGAAATGTGGGTAATTGAATCCACTGCAGGCATAATGGGCTGAATGGGCTCCTTCTTTATTATAATTAATGATTCACCGGCATCTAGAGAAGTTATTCTGTTTTCAGCGTTGGTGGCTAACATCAAAGTAGTACGTAATCACAACCCATTCTACTCAGAGTAATTTACAGCCGTGAGTCATTAACTGGTCTTTACAGTTGGTGTCTAAAAATCCATTTTCTAGCACATCTGGCTTTAAGCATAAGGTTCCTGATGTGTTGACACATCCAACACCTGGACAAGGAGTCAGTAACATATGTCATCGCCACTGCCCTCGGCCTGCTCCATGTTCAAGGCTCCAACTTCAGATAAAATTTTTCAGTACTGGGAAAAATAGACAAGTGAAATTGCTCCTTTGCCCCTTCCTCACATAACTCCCCCTGTCCCAAAACCCCCTCCCCCACAAACTGTCCCAATCTTCCTCCTTCCCATGAAACCAGCTTTTCACACTTTACAATACAAACGGCCCCTTTTCCCCTGATGTAAGCTGTCCTTCAACTCTGACCCCCACAAATAAAATAGTCTTCACGTCCCACTCCCTAAAACAAACTACTCTTCTGCCCTGTTGCTTCCACATGCACTGACCTTCACCACCTCAATGCAACATAAATATGCATTGATGAAAACAGACTAATTCTTTCACTGCAAGATTCTCTGGTGACAAGAATTTACAACCCTCACTGACATAAAATACCTTGAGAAAGAGTCACTCAAATACAGTATTATTTTCTTACAATACCACCCATTGTTGGTTGACCTGTTGACTCAAATTAACTCTCATGCCTGAATTGCATAGCTCTAAATCTAATAAAAATACAGATATATAAGTAAACAGCACGTTAGCAGCTCATTCAGAAATCTATGCTCCACATAAGCTTCAACCCTATCCATCTTTACATCTTCACTGTTGATATCTGCTCATGTCAATGCAACCTTCTATTCCTTTCTCACTCATCAGTTTGTTTAGCTTCCGAGTCTGCAGTATTTGGGAGGTCCCTGCAGAACCAACCCCAGCAGCTCTATAATGATACCAGTTTATAAAATGACTACAAGCGCCTAACATAATTTACAAGAAATCTTAACGTGCACCTGGAGGAATAGAGAGCACTGGCATGGTCAGCTCCTCTCCACTTGATCATGGTCCTATCCTCTGCCCCGGCTGCAGGCCGTTCCTCTTGCCACCCAAGCAACCATAGGCAGCTGTCTTGTGTGGGTTGCAGGCATGAGGCAGCAGTGGACTAGGGAGGAACAATGAACCACCTGTTGGAGCATCCCATTTCCCCTTCCTCCCCTCACCACGGACCCCACCTGAGTTAAAAAGTGGCCTTCTCTTGTGGCACAGCAGTAGTATCTCTACTTTTGAGCCAGGAAGGCCTGTGTTCAAGTCCCACCTGTTGCAGAGGTGTGTAATAACATCACTGAGCAGGTTGATTAGAAAATAGACTAAATTGAAAAAAGTCTTCTGATGTCAATACTTGAATAAAAGAAAATGCTTACTTAAAATGCCAATCATCTCTAGGGGCTTTGTACAAATTGACATTTTACAAAGAATTGCCGACTTACTTTCTGTTCTTGAATTTGAGCCTTAACTACTTTGAACTCAGCTGATGATGGCTTTTGGTTGGCTACGAGCTCCTCTGTGTCCATTAACCAACTGAGCAATGATTCGAGCGCATCCTGAAACCGCCCACAGTGCAACAGAGCTTCGTGCAGCTTGGCAGCTCGTTCTGCAACCTATAAAAACAGAGTAGACTATCCCAATTAACTGGAGACTGACATTGCTGGCGGTGGGCTACCTATTAAACAGTGAAGAGATGGGACCAAGAAAGAAAGAAGACCAACCTTTGTTGTTAGAGTATTCCATCGTGTATTTGCTTCTTCAAGGTTGTGCTCCAAGGTCTGGATGTTGGTATTTTTAGCTGCACTCTGGATCAGTCCTTGTCCAAGGCGATTCACCTCTTGGAGCACAGTCTGAAGAGGTTCAATTTCTTCCTTTTGAAATACCTGTAGTTAGAAAATGAACAGAGAGAATTACAATATACCTAACTGTTTAATTTAATTCAGTTTGTGATTCTAATGCCATTCCATAAATAGCAATACAAACACTAAATATAGGGGTGGTCTAGTGCCAAATATATAAAATGAAAGTGAAGTCCTACCTTAAATGATTTTTGTGTCAACTATTTGTGATACCATCGTCTGATTTACAGTGTCAACGGTTATTTCATAGATCCATCCAGTTCAGATAAATGGTACTAATCACTTACCAGAGCCGTACACGTCAAGAACAAAGGTGCTGTCTAAACCATATTAATACCTCTTCTGATATCATAAAACTAAGTTTACACAGTGATGAATAAATGAGTTAGGAGAAAACCCAAAAGATTTTATCTTCACAAATTTTAACGGCAGAATTTTTTCAATTTAAGTCAACCTCAAACTAATTATTTTTCAGCATTATTGTGCTCAAAAAGAATCAAAATCTTTGATGGACATTGAATCCAATTAATGTTTAGTCCTCTGTGCTAGAAAATACAGAGTTCAAAAACAGCTCCTAAGCCAACACCAAAACAGAATATTTAGCAAAATGAATGAGGAACTTACATGGTACATTAAACTTCTATTCAGAATAAAATTCAGCTTGATTACATTGGTCTGCACTACCAAACCATGATAAAGCAGATTGTTAGCCACTGTCTCAAATTTTCCTTTTTTCTGTTGTTCTTTAGGGGTCCTTCAGGATCAGGCATCATCTGCTCCACAGATCCTGTACAATTCGATGGACTGCCTTCCTTCTAAAACTCCAGAAGTAGATGATCAACCAAAGACTAAAATCCCTGGGCCTTCCCCTCCACCCTACCCTGAACCAAACCTCAGTCCTTACGAAGGGGTATTAAAGTTACTTCCATCACCACAAGCAAAACTTCATCAATCCAATCCCATATTGTTCAGTATAACTGGGAATGTCAGTCCTATTCCAAAACAGATATTGTTCAAATTTCAAGCAACATTAAATCTCCTCGATCTGCTATTCTACAGGTGAAAATATGATAGGGATTCCCAACAGTGTTTATATGACGTTCATACAAGCTGTCAATGCACCATCTAGGTTAAAGAACATACCAGGTAAATTGTTGTTAAAATGGGCTAATTTCCTCAATTTCAAAGACCCAAAGGATGATAATTTTTCAATCTTTGCTGTGTCAATCAAATGCTGTGTCAAGTTCTATTCAGTGAACTGCCTTTTGCAACACAGAGTTCCATAATCTTGTCATTTATTCACTTGTTAATTTTCTGCTCCATGTCCTCTCTCACCTCCGTGTTCTTTGCCTCTTGCACTAACAAAGCTCAATGTTAGACTGAGGAACAGCACCTCAGCTTTTGATTAGATACTTGCTAGTCTTGCAAACTCAACATTTATTTCAACAATTTCAGAACAAAACGACCAGTTCCATTTTTTTTCCTTTGGAGAACAGGAGCTGGTAATGATTTACTTTTATCATTTAACATTCCCTCTGAACACATCATTTGTTTCCTTATTTGGCCTGTTATGACATCATCACCCCTTTTGTAATACAATCTCTCCTGTTGTCCATCTTATCACAAACCTTCCCCACTGCTCTCCACCCTCCCTGCCTCCATACTTGCTTAAAATCCATTATGTTTCAAACTTTTTGGAAGCCTGGTGAAAGTTCAACGATCTGAAACATTAACTCTGCATCTTTTGCCATTTGATGTTTGATCTGAAGAGGAATTCCAACAGTTTCAGTTTTGATTTCAGAGTTCCAGGATCCACAGTATTTTGCTTTTGAAAATGCCTCATGTTCGCATTTGATGACTGAATTAGTCACATGGGGTAATGTATGCTAAATGCAGTTAACTAATAATCTAAATAATATATACTTCATTCACTAACAGCTTAATTTTATGGAGAACACTTTTTCCATCAGCTCTAAATTCCTTCCCTTTTTTCACCTTTGTTAATGGAACATGGATGGATTACCTTCTGTTTATTCCTGTTAAAATCCACCCACCAACCCACAACCCAAGAATTCAGGGGAGCTGAAAAAATGAGTTGATCTTTTCATGATTCACATGGCTTTGCAGTTCACTCTCAGCAAATTTATAATTAGTCACTCACATTATTTATGAATACTCTATACAGCAAGAAACACAGAACAGATCTGTTCCTGGATCTTAGTCAGTGCCCTTTGCTGCTTTCTAATGCCAAAACTATTTTCAATCCAACTAGCTAACTTACCATTAATTCCGCAAATGTTTATCTTTTTTAAAGTCTTACTATGGAATTGAACCAAACAATCTCTTAAAAATTAAAGTCACGCAACTTGTCTGCTAGTTTAGGTCCTCAACAATTCCAGACTGCTCATCAAAACCATGACCAATATGGCTAGCATGTGACTAACAGAAAAGACTTTACAAAAGGCAATTATCTTTAACACATTATAAACTATTTTTCCACATTACATCAGCGTTATGTATCTTCACCCTTTACTTGCTTCAGATACTACTTTTGGCTTGCCTGTCTCGGACTGTGCTTAGATTAACTCTTCATTTGTGCATCCCAAAACATGCTCACCTTTGCTTGCTTGGATAATGGATCTAATAATTAAAAACAGTGTGTGTTTGAACTTACTCGCTAAAAACATGGTAGTCTCTATCAAGTGGAATAGCTGTCCATGACACACACAATATTCATCTGAGGGTCCTTTTATTTCAAAAGCTCATTTTCGAAACTTATCATTTTTGAATGGCTCTAGTGAATAGCAAAGTTGCATTTAAGGCAAAGATGAAGAAGGAAATGAGAGAGAGAGAAATGGAAAGATTTATTGATGGGTTTTTAAAATCAATTGCCAGGATGTTGGTATTGGTGGCTAGGCCAGCATTTATTGCCCATCCCTAACTACCCTGGAGAAAGTGGTGGTGACTTGCCTTCTTGAACTCATGCAGTCCTTGGAGTGAAGGGACACCAATACATAGGGATTATGGATGTCTGACTTACCAATGTTCTTACTTATGAACGTGACCATGATTTGTTGGGGGTGGGGGGTGCGGGGTGTAATTTTAAAATCCGAGACATGACATTTCCTGTACTTATGAATGGCTCCTTTATGTTGTTCTGCAATGCGTTCCAACTTGTGTACAAACCAACTTGAGAACAGACTCCACAATGGAACCTGTTTGCAACCCAGGAACTTCCTGCAGTGGTGTTAGGGAGTGAGTTGCAGGATTTTGACCCAGCAACAGTGACAAAATGGTAACAATGTTCCAAATCAGGGTGGTGCCTGTTTTGCAGTTGGTGGAGTTTCCGTGCATCTGTTACCCCTGTTCTTCTTGGTGGTAGACACCATTTATTTGGAAGATGTATTTGAATGAGCCTTGGTGAATTGCTGTAGAAGGTGTAGAATTGCTGAAGGGGTGGCACTATGGTTAGCACTGCTGCCTCACAGCACCAGGGACCCGGGTTCAATTC